GCGGGTGGCAGCGGGTGGGACGGGCTGAGCGCGGGGCCGGGGCGGGGCGGCGGCTGCGCGGGCCGGGCGCGGCCATGGCGAAGCACACCGTGTCCTCGGCGCGGTTCCGCCGGGTGGACGTGGACGAGTACGACGAGAACAAGTTCGTGGATGAGGAGGACGGGGGCGACGGGCAGGCGGGGCCCGACGAGGGCGAGGTGGACTCGTGCCTGCGGCAATATCCTGGCGGGGGCGGCGGGCGCGGCCGGGCGGCCTTGTGGGGGAACAGCGGCGAGCGGGGAGGGAGGGAGGGAGGGAGGGGACCGAGCGGGGAGAAGCCGAAGGGGCGGAAAGGGGAAAGGGATGAAGGCAAAGGGGCTGGCAGCGGGCAGGGGAATGGGCTGGCAGGGGAAGGGGAAGTGGCTGGTGGAGGATGGGGAAGGGGCTGCAGGGGGAGGAGGGAGGCAGCCCCGCTCCCCCCCTCTCCCCAGGGCTGTGCTGTCAGGGGGGTGTCTTACGGCGGGCGTGCTCCCTGAGGCCTGCAAACCGCAGCAGTGATGGAGAATGATTTCTGCTCCTTGGATCCTCGTTCAGCGAAGGGCCCAGGAGGTATTCTCCGGTGGTGGAGCTGTGCGGCTGCTTGTTGGTGCTGCTCCTGTCTTAAGTGGCCTAAAAATCGCTGCCTTAGGCTGTAATCTGTGCTAGTTGGTGAGGGAATCATTGCATCCACTGGGCCTGGAGTGTTTTCAGTCATGCATAAGCCAGCTGCAAGTATGGCTGTCCTGGTACTTGGTACTTGATTTCGGTGTATTTGGTGTGTGGTCCTTAACCCTCTGGCACAGGGAACATGATGGCTGCGCTGCAGGCGGCTCTGAAGAACCCTCCCATCAACACAAAGAACCAGGCCGTGAAGGTGATGAAATAGTAACTAACTCACTCGTGGGTTATTCCCTAAAAAATCTTTCTCTGTTTCTGTTGCCCCTGTCCCACCAGGTGTACTTTGAGGAAGCGGGTTTTAGGGTATTCCCTGATATCGAAACATCCCTGACCACTAGTGTTTTAATGTTGTTGGAAATACTGTAGCCCAAGTGGCATCTTGTCCAGGTAACCTTAACTTGGTGCTGGGTGAGGTACGGTGTGTTCTCCTTACCTGGGTTGGCTGTGTTTTGTGTGCCCAGGTGTCACCAGGTGCCTTGTGTGTGACCCAGATGTGGCAGCACAGGGATGCGGTTGGTGCTGAGTGATCAGGGAACCAGAGCCGCAGCTGTCACCTCTGACAAACGAAACCATCAGCAGTGAGCCTACAAAAAAGGAAGAATTGGTGCTTGTCACATCCAATCAGAATGAGGCTGTTAAAACCTCAGAAAAGGCCAGCCCTCCCCCGCTGTGACAGAGAGTGGGTGTGTGCATTTCTGAGCCTCCCCAGAATAACCCCTGAATGGCTCATGATTGCGGTGATGGGAGGGACGGGCTGATAAGATGTGGCACTGCCCGGGCAGTGAGCCCTGCAGAGTCAGTTCTCCGTGCCCACAGGCGCAGCTCCATGCTGCTCATAGGGCAGAGTTTTCCCTTTAGGCCCAGCCCATTCTTGAGGGAGGCTCTGAGAACCAGCTGTTACAGATGGCCCTCACATTAATGACCTGTTTCCTTCAGCCCTGTACTGATGGATTTAAGAACACACTTGGTAGTGGAACTGAAGAGGGCAGAGTGACTGAATAATAATGTCTGCTTTCATTCTTAGTTGATCTTTAGAACTTCTGTATTTTTACTCGCAGTTCTTCCTGTGAGAAGTCTTGCTAAGCCAAGTGGTTATGGGATATTAAATTGGGCAAGAACACTGACATCCACGGTTTACATAGCAGGAAGCTGCTTGAAGTGTTTGTGTAAAGTCCAACAAACCCCAGACCTTCTTTTTCTTCCCCAGTTAGTGATGGATGAACAGGAAGAGAAGAAGAGCTGTTCTTTGCTGATTACGTGGCTAAATGCCACTGTGAGCATGCCACACGCATTCCTGGGCCTCCACGAAATGGCATCCAGACCAACTTGCAAATGGTTATTAATGCACAATATTAATGCTGCCAGTCTGCATCCAGCGTGCCTGGGACAGCAGCTGACTGTCTGGAGAACACGTGACTTCCAGCAGTCACCTCTTCCAGGTTGGCCATGGCATTTCCTTGGAATATAATAGTTGTGTCACATTAAAGAGTACAGAGGCACGGAAGAGGCTCTGGTGGCAAAGGAGGTCAGACAAGCACTTAATTATTAAATGTTAGCTCTTTTGGAGTTTGCTAGACCTTGAGCTTCAATATGAACATTATTATTATTTAATTATTTAGTTATAATTGTCTAAAATAATTGTATTACTTATTACTATAGCCAAGAATTGCAAACATGAGCAGAGAGGCCGAAAAACTAGAGCAGGGCAAACTCTTTCCACTGTTTATCCTTGTCTGTTCCGTGTTAGCATCACACACTGTCCTGTTCAGAGCTGTTAAAGAGGAAAACATTCTCACTCACTTTGTTTGAGAGAGGAGCAGTTTTTGGATGCATCTGACAGGAGAATGGATGTGTCTGTGCCTGCCTGTTGACAGGATCGTGCCGAGAGCATTGTGCTGAAGGTCCTCATCTCTTTCAAAGCCAACGATATCGAGAAGGCGGTGCAGTCACTGGACAAGAACGGTGTGGACCTGCTCATGAAGTACATCTACAAGGGCTTTGAGAGCCCCTCCGACAACAGCAGTGCTGTGCTGCTGCAGTGGCATGAGAAGGTGTGTGGGTGGGGCCAGATCCTGCTGGGCTATCCCTGGTGGCAGGTCCTGAGCCTGGCAAGAACCCCTTTCCTGTCTGGTGAAACTCCAGTGGCATATTTCGGGCTGTGAGGAGGAGGGTTTGGTCCCATGACCTCACAGCTGAGTTACATCCTGTGCCTACTGCTGGTTCCTTGGGTAAAGATTCTACAGTTAAAGTTTGCTTTTCCCTTTGACTTGAGGCAAACAAAATGGTTGGATCTGGGGTGATTCAAGCAGATGGAAGCAAAATTTCCCCCTTGAAGGGACGGAGAATTTGCAGCTTGATTACAGAGATACCAAAGCTTAATCAAAGTTAAAGAGCTGTGTTAAAAGTGAGTGTGATTATCCTGCCCTGGCACCCTGGGTGCTGGTGTTCTGTGGAGGGCAGGGAGATGCTCATTTGAAATACAGTTGGGATCCAAGTAATTTCATAGAATCCCAGACTGGTTTGGGTTGGAAGGGGCCTTAAAGCTCATCCAGTCCCACCCCCTGCCATGGGCAGGGACACCTTCCACCGGCCCAGGTTGCTCCATCCTGGCCTTGGACACTTCCAGGGATCCAGGGGCAGCCACAGCTTCTCTGGGCAAACCTGTGCCAGGGCCTGCCCACCCTCCCAGGGAAGGATTTCTTCCCAACATCCAGACCTGCTCTCTGTCAGTGTGAAGCCATCGCCCCTTGTCCTGTCACTTCCTGCTCCTGTAGAAAGTCCCTCTCCGTCTTCCTTGTTGTCTCCCTCAGGTCCTGGTAGCCCGTAGCTCCCCTGGCCTGGTGTTCACTGTTGTGTTTCCCCTCCCAGGCCCTGGCTGCCGGAGGAGTTGGGTCCATTGTCCGCGTTCTCACTGCCAGGAAGACGGTTTAGATCCAGCGGCGAGTGGGAACTGCTGGTGCGAAGCCCGACCGACCCAGCGCCTCGGGGGCAGCCCCTGTCTCTCAGCTTGCCTTCTCTCTTTGCTTCTTTTCATACCTGACAAATAATGCGTGTCGTGATCTCTTTTCGTGGTTTTAAGTTCTGGAAAATGATGAAGGTGCAGTTTTTACTCCTAGCAGGAATATTCGACGCTGGCCGACATTTCAGTGGCTCGTACAGTGACGTGAACAGCTCGGTGTTTAGGGTGATGTGCATTTGTGTGTAATCGTGGCGGATTTGGACCCGACTCCCTGAGCGAATGCTGAGGGACACAGGGCAGTTGTCTTAATTCTTTTCTCTAGCCAAGCAGTGTTTTGAGCTGAAATCTGTATTTTTGAGAAGTGGGGCAGCTATTATTAACACAGGTAACTGGACCACGTTGCCTTTGGTCAACCTCTGAACCTACACCCGTGAACAGGACAGAAAGCAAAAGCTCCTTCTCAAAGCCCAAATACCATTCCAGAGAGCTGAGTATTTCCCTTACCCTGTTTCTTGTGACCAGTCCAGCGCTGGGTCTGCAGCAGGGGGGTCACAGTGGGATGGAGTTGTCCATCCTGCCGTTCGGATGATGGAACTTTAAAAGGTTGATGGCCCATTTACAGTGGAGCTCAGCCCGGTGAACTCTTTTTATTTTGGGGAGCAAAGATCCTAAGGGGAAGAAGAAAAAGCAGCTTTTACACAACAAGTCACCTTTCAGCAATTGGAAAGTGATTCGATTTTGTCAAGCACAACTAAAGTGGCTGCTCGGGGTAGGCAGAGACACATCCTGGTATCCACACCATCCTTGCAGAGTTCCCATACTTTGTTTCTGGGTGTTTAGAGTCCTTAAGGATACCAGACAGCTCACATTCCTGTTGCCTTGTGCCTCATTATGTTAGCTAGTGGGCCAATTGGGTTCCCAAATAAAGGGGAGTATTTTAAAAAGAATTAGGAAAGCCCAGGGCATCCCAGGCCACAGATCACCGTAGAAGGTTTAGGGCCAGGACTGAAAAACATATATTTAACTTTCACTATTTTACTGCAGTTCATTTCTGTAAAACTGTTGGGGACCTTGTGAAATCCTTGCTGTTTTTTGATATCTGCTTTTTTTTTTTGTAATAATAAAGACCAGACAGTAAATCATCACTGAATGTTTACTCCCATGTCTGACATACCTTCAAGTTTCAGCAGGCTCCTCCTCCCAGGATGGACAACATCTCTGGTTCCTTCCACTTGTCCAAATTTGATTAGGACACCAATCAATCCTCATTGAAAAAAAAAATAAAACCTGCAATCTCAAGAGAAGTTAAAAATGTTTTCCACAGCAATTGGTGCCAAAGCAGGTCAGCCACCTCTAGATGGCATTAGATAAATGATGGGAACAAAAGTAATGTTTTTTCAGTGCTCAGATCAGTTTATATTTGAAACTCCTCTCCAGAGATGCTGATAGCCTTGTGCAAATTGTTGCTGTACAAACTCAAACGCTGCACCCCAGCTAGATTTTGGGCATTTCTGTGTATTTCTGACCTGGATTCCAAGAATCTTCCACAGGAGATGTCACAATCTCTGATACTCACTTCCCCTTGGATGTTATCATAGAAGAAACACTAGTTTGCCTACTCAGTCAGCTTGGTCAGAGAAAGGGGAATGAGAGTTGCTCTTGCTAGAAGGGCTGTGTTTATCACAGCTCAAATCAGTTGAACGTTACATGACTAATACCCCAGCAGAAGGGTGAGCATTCCATGTGCTCCCCTCTTTCTCTGAAACACAAGAAGAAAAAAGCCAACAGGGGTGATCTCACATCGTCCTCCAGCTCCCCTTTGTACTGGTTTTGGGGTAAACCTGACCCAGCAGTGCACCAGTTCAGACAATTAAACGAGCAGAAAATTATCCCTGCAATTATCCCTTCAGCTTTCCTGCTCAGTGGACTCTTCCATTCCTCACAATATAAGGCACATCGAGGGGTGTTTGCACACTCACCACGTTGCTATTCCCACCGCTGCACCATGAAGTGTTTGCATTTCCCTCTGCTTTTCTGGAGGTCACAGAGTCTCCTCCAGGCTCAAGGGTGTGCTCAGTCCTACTCTGGATTAAAACCCAACTCCTTGCTCAGGGCCTCAGGTTTCTCCCAAAGCAGGACTCAGAAGTCTCCTCCTCAGCCTCCCTCCCACCGCTGGAGTTCTGTAATTTGCTGAGGAAGTTTGGGTAAAGGCACAAGGGCAGAGTCTTGCCGACATATTTTAAGCTCTTGCAAAATGCACATCACATCTCACCGCTGGTAGATGTGGCAGAGGCAAAAGTACTTCCAAAAACACTTAAAAGCCACGTGTGGAGCACTCAGCTCCAAACCTCTGAGTCAGCAGCGGGTCTGACTCCTGCCATCCCCACTGGCCACGTGCCCTGTGTGTCCCTCTGCTCCCAGCAGCCGCTGCCCCAAGAAACCCCATCCGTGGGCAGCTCCACGTCCCCCCAGCAGCAGAATTCCACACTGGGGCAACACGGTGAGGGATGGGAAGGACCAAAGGTTTCCCAGGTGGTGCCTTAGGCTGTGCTTCACCTTTCCAGCCGGGCAGGCAGGGGAGCCCCAGCCAAGCGGTGCCTGCCAGGAGTTGCTGGGAGGAACCCATTCAGCAACCACCCCCATCGAGGACCGCGCTTCAGAGGGCACCGGGGGCTCAGCTGAGGACCTGCCCTGCGGCTCTGCACCCCAAAATCTGACCTAACGAACCACCTCGCTGACAAAATCTGTGGCTTTCCGTGGAAAAGCCAGAGAAGCCAAACCCGAGGAGATGATGCCGGGGAGGAGCAGGGGGGCACCCCACGGAGCCCACTGCACCGGGGGCAGCTCTGCCCCACTTCCCCATCCCGGGGCTGTGATGCAGTGAAGCCACTTCCTGCCAGGTTTGCGACACGGGCAGGGGAAAGGCAGAAGTACAGGCAGAAGGGAGACAGGAGAGGCTGAGCAGCGCCACGAGGAAGGGCGAGACCCACGACACAGCCGGGGATCGACACCCTGCTCCCACCACGCCATGTCCCTGGTGGAGACGATCCGGCTGTGGCAAGAAGGGGTGTGTGCAGCAGACAGGAAGGACTGGAGCGCTGCCCTGGACGCCTTCACAGCCGTCCAGAACCCCCCTGCCAAAATCTGCTTTAACATCGGCTGCATCCACCTTGTCCTGGGGAAGCTGGCGGAGGCGGAGGAGGTAAAGTAGAGCCCAAAGGGCTGCTAGTCCTGCTCACCTGTTGGACCTGCCAGACAGAGGGACGCTGTGGGGAAGGGAGGAATTAAGGGTCATGGCCTAAGGGAAGGATTTGGGGACTCTTAAATATGTGAGGAAGGGAGACAGCCCTGGGCTGTTCCTGCTGAACCTGTTTTCCCAGTGGATCAGAGGCGAGGCAGCAGCGACAGCCCATGGGCTCGCTGCTCACCCTTCCTCTCTCCGAGGGGTGACCACAGCGGGCACGTGGATCCAGCTCAGAAAAAAACGGGAGCCTGACACAGGTTCCCCCACCCAGTGCCCAGCAGTGCGGGGAGACGAACCACAGAGCCCAGCCCAGGCCACTCGGCTAAAGCAGGACAGGTACAACTGCTCTATGCCCCCCGTTTGTTAAAGGTGCCCCCTTTCACCCCCACTCCTACCTCCGTGCAGGCATTCACCCGGAGCATCGGCTGCGACAAGCACCTGGCAGTGGCTTATTTCCAGCGGGGGACCGTGTTTTACCGCAGGCAGAAGTGAGTGGAAGGGTTTAAAGTTTAATTCTTGCTGCTTGTGGAGACGGTAGCCTTCAGCTGAGGATGGCCCCAGGCAGGTTGGTACCTCAGGGGCCAAACTGGAACCCGGTGAGGTCAAACGGGCTCCTGTTCTTCAGCACCGCAGCCCTGGGATGAACTGGGATCAGCTCTCCTTCCCTGAGGTGTCTGAAACACTGAGACCCAACTGAACTTCCACGAGTTTGGGCATAGGCTTGGAGGCAGGCAGGTTGCCACCACAGCCTGGCGACACCCTTGTCCTCTCCTCCCCAGCAATGGAAAGGCCATTGAGGATTTCAAAGAGGCACTGGCCCAGCTGCGAGGCAACCAGCTCATCGACTACAAGATCCTAGGGCTGCACTACAGGCTCTTTGCTTGCGAGGTGAGTTCTGATCCCAAAGTCGTGTTCTCCAGCACAGGAAATCTAAGGAGACGACAGCTTGTGCCTTGCAAACAACAAACAAGCCAGTGCAATGCCACCACCCCGCTTGTCCCCTCCTCTGCTGCCCTGCTGGTCTGGCTGCTCCCACAGCTCCTTTCCTCGCCCCCATCCCTCCAGCAGATTCTCTACAACATCGCGCTGGTCTACGCCACGACGGAGAACTGGGAGAAGGCTGAGGAGCACCTGACTCTGGCCATGAGCATGAAGAGCGAGCCCCAGCACAACAAGATTGACAGGGCAATGGAAGCCATCCTGGTAGGGAGGAGCTGGTCTTACAGCCACGTATGTGTTCTCTCCCAGCAGCCCCCTCAGGGAGGAAAATCCCAGTCACCTTTTAGCACGGTGGGAATGGGTATCATAGTGAGACACGAGCCCGTGGGAAAAGCTTTGGGTCACTGGGAAGGCAGAGATGAAAAGATTGGGTTCCATGGACCGTGTCAGGGCTGGGGTCAGGCTGTCACAACGGTTTGACTTTATGGAGCGAGAGCCAAACCCCAGAGACAGAAAGGGACACTCAGCAGGCCCTGCTCTCAGTGCCAAACACTCCTTGACTTCCCTGTGCTACAGAAGCAGAAGCTCTGTGCGCTGGTGGCCATTCCTGTGGGGAAGCTGTTCAGGCCAAATGAAAAGCAAGTGGCCCAGCTGGAGAAGAAGGACTACCTGGGAAAGGCAATGGTAAGAAAGGAATATATTTATCTAGACATGGAGCTGGTCTGTGCCTCCGGGATCCCCCAGGCATGGAGACAGGGATGGCACACATGGGGAACAGGGACTCTGCAAGAATAGAGGAGCTAAAAGCATGTTCCTGCAGAGCATGGCCTATTTCCACCTTGTCTCCTTACTGAGACACAAGGGACAGCCAACAGTGAGCTGGAAAGATCCCACTGCAGCTTTGCCTCGAGCCAAGATATTTTCAGGGGTGGGGGGGGAAAAGGCTGTTCAGCATCTGACACCCACAAACAACCTCCAGTCCTTCCCCTGCTCTGTTTGAAAGGGGCTTTTCATCTCAGATAAGCAAATAAGCTTTTCTCCCGTGGGTGTGCAAAACCCAGCCACTGGGATATCACCCTTGGGCTCAGGTCTCAAACCATGAGGTTAGGAGTGTAGAACTTACCACACTGAGGGGAGCTTTGGAGGCCAGAAGCACTCAGCCTGTAGTCCAAGATGCTTAGCCTAAAATCACAGTCCCTCCTGAGCCTGAGGCATCCCGAGGAGAGCTTGGCTTGGCCAACAGCAAAGGAAGAAGGGTGGACATCAGAGGTCTACAAGCACCAGATCACTGTCTGTCTGTCTGTCTTTGCTTTAGGTGGTGGCATCTGTGGTGGACAAGGACAGTTTCTCAGGATTTGCTCCCCTCCAGCCACAGGTAAGGCTGTGAATCAGTGAACAGCTCAGGAGGATGTCAGGGTGGATGTCACCCCTCAGCTTCCAAGGGCTCTGGCCTGTGGTGGGAAGCAAACAGCACCGTCAGCAACCACTGGCACAGGGAGGGGGCGGGCGCTGCCCCCACGGATCAGCTGCTCCCTCCATCATCAGGGAGCTCACCCACCTCCATGGCTGAGGTCAAGCTGGTTCCTTGAACGGGGAAGCGGTGGCCTGGTGGCACGTCCTCTGCCCCCACCCTCGCTGTGGGGTGACAGCCTTCAGCAGGGAGCTGTCTCTGACCCTCCACGAAGGGATTCATCAGGGATCCTCTGCCTAAGTTCTGCTCTCCCTTTTCCAGCCTCCTCCCTGTTCCCAAAGCCCTTTGCATTTCCTGTGCCATTCACCAGATGGTGTGGCAGCACCTTTCCATCTCTAAAGGTGTCTGAGAATTTCTACAGGAGCTTTTGGACAGAACACGGGGAGGCACAGCCACTGCTGCCCCGTTGCGCAAGATGAACGGCACCCTTCTCGGTGCAGTCAGGGGCTGACATCTCAACCCTCCCCGAGATGAAACTACAGTCACTACAGAGCTGAAAACA